TATATATATATATATATATATACACACACACACACACACACACACACACACACACACACACAAAGGAATATTACTCAGCCATAAGAAAGAATTAAGTCTTGCCATTTGCAACATTTATGGAGCTAAGCAAAATTAGTCACAGAAAGACAATTACCATATAATTTCACTCATATGTGGAATTTAAGAAACAACACAAAGGGGGAAAAAAAAGAGAGAGAGAGGCAAACCAAGAAACAGACTCTCACCTATACAGAATCAGACAGTTACTGGGGGGGAGGTGGGTTGGGGACAGGTTAAATAGGTTATAGGGATTAACAAGTGCAATTGTGATAAGCACCAGGTGTTGTATGGAAGTGTTAAATCACCGCATTATACTCCTAATACTAATATTACACTGTATGTTAACTAACTGGAATTTAAATAAAAACTCCAAAAAAATTTACAAAAAAAAAAAAAAGAAAATGCAAGATGGTGCAATTAAATAAATATGTTGGATTTTTTTAAATCTTTTTTTTTTTAAGATTTTATTTATTTATTTGCCAGACAGAAATCACAAGTAGGCAGAGGCAGGTGGGGTTGGGGGTGTCGCAGGCCCCCTGCTGAGCAGAGAGCCGGATGTGGGGCTGGATCCCAGGACTCTGGGATTATGACCTGAGCCCAAGGCAGAGGCTTTAACCTGCTGAGCCACTCAGGTGCCCCTAAAAAATCTTTTTAAAAAGATGCTTACCTCACTAGTAATCAGGAATGTGAAAATTATAAACCACAATGAAATATTACTACACACCCATGGACACGGTTAATATTTTAAAATCTGACAGTACTAAAAAATAAATAGAAATTAAAAATAAATAAAAATCTGACAGTACCAAATGTTGATAAGATATATGACAAAGACAACTTTTATATAGTCTTGGTGGGAGGTTAAATCAGTAGAACTACTACCTTTTTTTTTTTTAATTTTTTTTTTTTAAGATTTTATTTATTTATTTGACAGAGAGCGGGAGAGGGAACACAAGCAGGGGTAGTGGGAGAGGGAGAAGTAGGCTTCCTGCTGAGCAGGGAGCCCAATGCAAGGCTCGATCCAAAGATATGACCTAAGCCAAAGGCAGACGCTTAATGACTGAGCCACCCAGGCGCCCCTGTAGAAGCATTTCTGAAAACAAGTGCAACAATGGTTACACTTATATAATACTGATTGGAGGATACATTAGTGAAAACCACTTTGGCAAACAGCTTGGCATTATCCATATAGGTAAAACATGATACACAATTCTACAATCCAGGACTCCACTCATAGATACATATGCCCAATAGTAATGAGTGCATATGTTCACTACGACATTCTTTGTAAGTGCTCCAAATCACAAACAACCCAAATATCCATCAATATTAGAATAGATGAGTAAATCGTGGCATTTTTATACAACAGATTACTATATGGCATAGAACCACAGTCACACACATCATAGGCAAATATCACAAACATAATGTTGAGCAAAAAAAGACGAACACAAAAGAAGACATACTTGACTGTTTCATATATATTAAATTTAAAAACCAGGCACATCCAAATTAGAGTGCTTAGGGATGCATGCTTGAGTAATAAAAACGTAACAAAAAACAAGAATGTGAACACTATGAAATCAGAATAATGACAACCCTTGGAGGATAATGATTACAAGGGGTCATAAGGGGATCTCCTGGGGTACTAGCAATCTTCTATTTCCTGACCTAGTTTCTAGTTACACAGCTGTTCTCCTCAGATAAATCATTTAGCTATTTTTGTTTCAGGCATTTTTCTTGATATGTTTTATTTCACAAAAAAAGGTTAAGAAAAAAAGACTTAAGGGGCAAGTTAAACAGATGAGACAAAACTAAATAAAGCAAAAAGGGGACTACAAAAGAGACCTAAAGAAATTGTGCAGAATGAATCCAGAGGGATGACAATTATGTTAACTATAAAAGAGAGAGGTGCCTGGCTGGCTCAGTGGGTTAAGCGTCTGCCTTCCACTCGGGTCGAGATCCCAGGGTTGTAGGATCGAGCCCCGCATCAGGCTCCCTGCTCAGCACAGAGTCTGCCTAGGATTCTCTCTCTCCCTCTGCTCCTTCCCCATTTCTAAAAAAAAGAAAGAAAGAAAAAAGAAAAGGAAGAACAAGAAATGAATGACTCTTCCTAAAGCTTTTCTGTGGCCGCAATCAGAAAAGCAATCACAGCTGAGGGAGATGTGGCCTCCAGCAGGAGCTGGGTACATACCCAAAGCCAAAAGGAAGCAGGTTTAGGATTACTTGCCACTTTCACTTATCCCTGCCTCTGCCACAGTCATGAAACAACTGCTGTCGCTAACTGTTCCACTCAGACCAACCTGCTGATGCACGGATGCTTCCGTTTAGTTAGCAAATCAAGCTGTCGGCCAAGAGTGAATTTTCCTCATCTACTAAAGTTCAGCAATGGTTTCGTCTGTTATTGTTGGTGTAAATATTTCTAAAATGATATAGTTTCTTATATAGAATATACCAAAAGTATCCAATCCTTCCCTGGTTGCCCAAGGTCATTGGTAGAAACAACTACTATTATTGCTGATACAACGAAATACCCTCCAGTAGCCAAGGTATGAGGTCTTGTGTGACCACGAAGCCTTGCCCACGCTGCCACATGTCCCCTTGGTCATCACTGCACTGGCGCCTGCTAGGCCTCCCACCATGCTCTGACCTGATTTTGTGGCAGCTCTTCTGCTTAGGGCCTCTGCTGATTCCATGTCCTGGCTCTAGGCCATATCCTAGATATCCCAGAGAAATACAGCAGAGAATCTTGGCAAGGCATTCTACTGAATTAGTCAGAAATGATAACTATGATTTATTTATACTTTTATAATATCTTCTGTTTCAAGGAGATTAAAACTCACTCTGCAAATCAGAACAACAGAGGGACAGATGCCTTGTACGATCCTCATCCCAACTATGTTACAACTCTCCCAAAGGAAGACCTACTAGAAAAATTAACCAGATGTGGGGTGCCTGGGTGGCTCAGTCAACTAAGTGCCCAACTCTCGATTTCAGCTCAGGTCATGATCAAGCCCCACGTGCACTTGGCATGAGTCAGCTTGGGATCTACTTCTCCCTCGCTCTCTGCCCTTCCCCCCACTCCCACGCTCTCTAAATAAATAAATAAAATCTAGAAAGAAAGAAAAAAAGATGGGGCGTCTGGGTGGCTCAGTGGGTTAAAGCCTCTGCCTTCGGCTCGGGTCATGGTCCCGGGGTCCTGGGATCAAGCCCCGTGTCGGGCTCTCTGCTTGGCAGGGAGCCTGCTCCCTTCCTCTCTCTCTGCCTGCCTCTCTGCCTACTTGTGATCTCTGTCAAATACATAAGTAAAATCTTTAAAAAAAAAAAGAAAGAAAGAAAGAGGGAAAGAAAGAAAGATCCATTAACCAGATGGTTAAGAAAGCCCAGGGCTCAAGTGGTTACTTTTATGCCTCCTTTCCTAGCTATAAAGTAAAGGTAACAATAGTATCTTTCTACATAGGATTACTGTGTTAATTAAAGAAGACATGCAAACAAAACAGCAAAGTACCTGGCTGAGAGTAAACAGTACTTCAAATTTTAACTGTTATCTCTTTAAATGCTACTTTGTATAATAATTCCTCTTTAAGTAGATAGACTTCCTTAACTATCTTCTCCATGGCATCCTTACGAAAATACTATTAAAAATATTAATAGTAGCTAATATTTAATAAGCACTGACTACATGTGAAAATCATGCTGAATCCCTCATTAGGTTTGTCAATATGAATCCTCTGAAAAGCCCGGGGAGGGAGATACCATTACTTCCCTATTGGACAAAAGTTTACTGAAACTCTGAGAGCTTAAGAAGCTTGTCCAAGTTCAAAGAACGGTAAGTGTTCAAAATGGTGCTCATGCAGATTTGTCTCACTCTAGAACCCATGACTATGAGCACTCCTCTATCCTAAGAAGAGAAGGAGCTTCTCCTGCTAAATTCTATTTGTGAGCTAGCTGAGAACAAGCTAATTCTCCTTTAATCTTATCTCGACGTGACAATTCAAGTTATCTAGTTAGAAAAGCAGAAAAGATTTACATGTTTTGTTTTTGCTGTTTAACTTACCCACTCACAGTCAATTCCAAGCACTGGACAATCTTGTAACTCACTCCTAAGCAAGGGCTCAATTTGATCCCACTCCTCCTCCTGGGACACGGTGACCACCTTCGCTCCGAGGATCCTTTCCTCCCACCAGGCCCGGGGGGCACTGGAACGCCGCTGGTCCTCTTCCGGGGAGGGTGACTCCCCACTGCTGGGTGCTTGCTGCGGATGCTGCTGCTGCTGCCTGGTGTGGGTGTCGAGGCTCTGGGTGTCGAGGCTCTGGGTGTTGAGGCTCGCTTTACTCCTCCGCCTCCGGATGCCTTTCCACAGGACAAACCCGCCCACGGCCACACCGACGAGAGTGGTCACTGTCAAAGCCATTAAGTATCTAGACATCTTCAACTTTTTTTTGCTGTTTAGGAAAGCATATCACTAATCCCACAATCTGCAAAACAAGTGGCAACAATATATTTACATACAGGCTTTAAACCCAGATGGAAACATGTTTTCCCCTAAAAAGTGTTCTACTTATAATCTATGTGTCCACAAACTAACAAAAAATGCTACAAATTTCCATGTGGAGTGATATTTATTTTTCTCACTTTTGTACATTCTGTCCTCCATCTATCGCTGTCTTCATTCCCACCGGAGAAAACCCCCTGCCCTCTACCAGCTGCCCAGCACTCACTTAATCCTGTGACAACAGGGCGCCTGAACATAGACGCACTTGTACAGAATCTGAAAAATCATGGACGCCTGGGTGGCCCAGCCAGTTAAGTGGCTGTTTTTGGCTCAGGTCATGATTCCAGGGCCCTGGGATCAAGTCCCACATCGCACTCCTTGCTCAGCAGGGAGCCTGCTTCTCCCTCTCCCTCTGCCTGCCGCTCCCCCTGCTTGTGCTCTAATAAAAAAAATCAAACCTAAAAAAAAAAATCAAATTAATTATAATCCTACTACCCTTAGGTGGTCACTGCGATCAATTTGATGTTCTAGTATTTCATACAATTAAAAAAAATTAAGAATGGCAGATGGCTTTAGTCAGGGGAACCCCACACAATAATCTCTCTTCCATTTTTCTTATCACACATTGGTTTATCCATCTCTTTTGTTTTCCTATTTTTGATGAGGAAATGGATATATAGTACTATTTCTGTACTACTTAAATAACAGCAGAAAATATGTAACAATAAAGGTAAGCAGCCCTTGGCCTCAGTCACAGAGAGCAATCATGGGACAGACACCATTCAGTACAAAGTGATTGATCCTTTTTGGGAAGCAGGCCCAGTATGATCTAGATAACTCCATTATTCAAGAGAAGTCAGATATCTAAATTTTATGCGAAATGTCACTATTTTTGTGTCAGCAACAAATTTACAGTTTTTAAAACACTGTACCAGCCAAACAAAAACACTCTGGGCTCTGTGCCACCCATCTGTGGGCTCTGGCCTAAAATCTCTAATGCCCAAAGACACAGCGATCTGCTAGACCCTGCCTACGCTTATCTACGGCTGAGAGTTTCCCATTGAATGTGTACTATTTTTATCATTTTTCAAAGCTTCAGTAACAACTGTTTTTTAAAATAATTCAGTATTTACAACAACCCTGGGCTATGGTCATACCTACAGAGATATTTGGCACTGGAGATGAAAAATGAAATCACAACAATTATTACACTGCTAATGAAAACAAAAAAACAGCTGTGTTGTTTTAAAAAGATTTACTTTATTGCAGAAACTGTGCTAAGTATTCATGTGTACTTTCTCCAGTACTTTTTATTGAAGGCTTAATGAGATTAAAAAATTTGCACAAACTTCTAGTTAAAATACTCTGAGAAGACTTAAAAAAAAACAAAAAACCGTTCCTTTCCCCCTGGAAACAATACAAAATGCTGGAGAAAACATTTATCTTTTTAATATATATTAAATAATACATATTATTTATTATATATAAATATATATTTATTACATATTGTTATATATATATATACACACATATACATATATATGTATATATATATAATACAGAGTTAAAACTCAAAAAGAAGAAAGGAAAATCATCAGGTACCAGAAATGGAAGTGGGTGGGAGATACAGATGGGCAGAGACCAGATCTCATACCAGCCCATGACCAGAAGTCTAGGCCACAAGCCCAGGGCACAGCTGAGACCCAGGAGAGTGCTACCTTGTCTGTGAACAGGAACTGGAAGCGCTCACCCACCACGTCCAGGCAAGCCACCTGCCCAAGGCTGGGAGTATGAACAGAGCTCCTCATGGGAAGGCAGATGCTCAAGCCTGTACTGTGAAGTAGTCCAGGGCCAAAGTTCACATTAACCTCACGAAAGAAAACCCTAAGCCAAGAAACTAAAACTAAAATGGTTAGAATTGGTGCATTCTGTTGGAGTGTGTGTTTGTGTGTGTGTTTCTAACACACAGGAAACACAAAGGACCTCCACAGAACATCAGTCCCTAGAAGAGCAATCACAAATGAATAAGAAAAAAAAATTCAAAAACCCTAAAGCCAATAAAAAAAAAAACAGTTCACATAAGAACCAAACAAAAATACCCATTACCTGAGATCTGAAAGGAACGTTAAAATAATAACACTCAAGGGGTGCCTGGGTGGCTCAATGGGTTAAGCCTCTGCCTTCGGCTCAGGTGGTGATCCCAGGGTCTTGGGATTGAGCCCCGCATGGCATCCGGCCTCTGCTCAGCAGACAGCCTGCTTAATCCTCTCTCCTCTCTCTCTGCCTGCCTCTCTGCCTACTTGTGATCTCCGTCTGTCAAATAAATAAAATAAAATCTTAAAAAAAAAAAAACAAATAACACTCAGGGAAATTAAGGAAAATAATCTAATACTTCAACAGGAAACAACAAAAAAATAGAAATTCTAGATAATTGTTAAAATTTTTTAAAAGTCCAGTAATCAATAGACAGGTTAAATAGATCAGACAGTGAGATGAGAGTGTTAGGAAATTGAGGCTAAATCTGAGAAACTCACTCAGAATGTAGCACAGAAAGATATAGAAAACAGCAGAGACATGAAGGCTAGATTGAGAAACTCAACATCCATGTAATGAAGAGTGGGAAGATGGAGGTCATCATATTTAGTACAATTCTCTGAGTCCCAAGCTGGATAAAATTAAATCTATCCACGAAAAGACTTACTTAAGAATGTTCGTAACAGCTTTATTCATAAGACTAAAGATACATGCATGAATCTTAAATAACATTAGGCTGAGTGAAAGAAGCCAGATACAAAAGAGATACTGTATGGTTCTATTTACATAAAGTTCTAGAACAACTAAAATTAATCTATAGTAGAAAAAGATTTGAACAGTAGCTGCCTTGGGGTGGGGGGAGGGCGGTTACAGGGAAGATAGATTTAAGCTGAGCACCGAGTATCAAAAAAAGAGCCAGTCATGAAAATCTAGGGAAGAGCATTTCAGGCAAGAGGGAACTTTCTAGAATTGCATGTAATATCCCAAGTTTTGATGGAAGCTTGGCTTACAGGTATGCACATTTGTCAAAACTCAGCAATATTAAAAAAAAATCAGCAATATTTCTGATGTTTACCCGTTGGCCTAATGAATAACTGTTGGTTCATTCACTGTCTTTCCTACTAGATTGTAAACTCCATGAAAACAGGGACCTTACTTGTCTCCTTCAACACAACATATATCCCCAGTAACTATCACAGAGCTCATAACAATAAATACTCATCGAATGAATAAAACTCAATCCAAGATGTTACATTTTATGATAAATGTCTCTATTTTAACCATCCAATTATAAAAATCTGTTTATTCCAATGAAAAAAGTATTCTTCCCCTTACTGAGCCTTGATGCTAATAAGAAAAAAAAACAATATGGTTCAATGCTGGGTCAGAAATGAGAAAAATCAAATTTTGCATTACAAACTGAAAGTCTATGTCCCTCTAAAATTCATACGTTGAAATCCTCTCCCCCAGTGTGATGGTGTTAGGAGGGGGAGCCTCTGGAAGGTGATTAGGGTTGGGTAAGGTCATGAGGGTGGAGCCCCCATGATGGGATTCGTGCCCTTACAAAAGCTTGCCTCTCTCTGATCTCCGCCATGTGAGGCTACAATGAGAAGTCAGAGGTCTGCCTTTTGAAAGAGGGCCCTCACCAGGCCCTAACCAGGCTGGCATCCTGGACTTCCTGTCTCCAGATTGAGATAAATCCATCTCTGTTTTTTATGATTCACCCAGGCTGTGGCATTCTACTTTAGCAGCCCAAACAAATTAAGATACCTCTCTAAGGGCTTGCTCTGGGATCCAAAGCTTTCAATGCTTCACCACTTCCCATGACTAAAAACAATCTGCCATTTTAATTTTTTTTTTTTTTTTTTTTTTTTTTTTGTACATAGTAGGGATGCCTCGGTGGCTCAGTCAGTTAAGTGGCTGCCCTTGGCTTGGGTCATGATCCCAGGGACCTGGAATCAAGCCCTGCATCAGGCTCCTTGATCAGCCCAGGGAGTCAGCTTCTTCTCCCTGTCCCTCTGCTGCTCCTTTTGCTTATGTGCTCTCTCAAATGAATAAATAAAATCTTTTTAAAAAATAAAATAAAATAAAATTGTACCAGTAATTGAACATCAAACTGAAAACAGTGATTACCTAATGGTAGTAGGATTATAATTTTGACTTTTCAAATTCTATCCAAGTATGTGTATCTCTTGCTAATTAGAAAAGCACTTTTTAAATTGATGCTTTTTACTGATATGCAATATAAATATCCCACTTAAGACATGATTATATTCCTGAAATAAATCACATTTTTAAAAAAGATTTTATTTTTATTATTTATTTGACAGAAATAGAGGGAGGGAGATCACAAGTAGGCAGAGAAGCAGGCAAAGAGAGAAGGGAAAACAGGCTCCCCAACGAGCAGAGAGCCTGATGTGGGGCTCGATCCCAGAACCCTGAAATCATGACCTGAGTTGAAGGCAAAGGCCCAACCCATTGAGCCACCAAGCAAACAAGTATGTTCAGCTGTTCAGGGAGCAGCCTAAGGTAGAGGATAAGGACAAGGGCCCTAGTGTCACACACCCTGGGTTCAAATCCAGCCTCTGCCACTTGCTAGCAATGTAACGTGGGCAATTCACTGAACTTCTCCAAGTCTCTGTTTCCTCATTGGTAAAATGGGAAAGATAGACCCCGTAGACTCCTGTGAGTCTTAAAAAGTAAGGTGATCAATACACTTGACTTAGCATACCGACTAGCACATTAGGGTTCCATAAATGTCAGCTCTCACTGCTACTGGGCACTATAAACCACAGAACTCCTAATTAAAGCAAAACAAAGAATCACAGAGTGAAAATGCAGGAGCCAAATTCAGCTCCTGCACAAGTTAAGAATCCTTGCTGTGTAATCCTCACAGAGCATGACTTGGTC